GGAGCAGGTGAGGATGCTGGGTCCAGCAGGCAGGTAACCAGGGTCACAGCTGTACTGCAGTACTGTGCCCACAGGGAATAAACTCCTGTTGGTGTCTGTCAGATTAGTTGAGCCATGCTGCACAGAAGAGGGTCTTATACAACCTAAAAAAGGGACAATATTCAAAAATATGGTTCATATCAACAAAGTGCTTACAGGCAGAACACCTTGCCCTATTGACAGATTGGAGTTTGAGGACTGACCAACCTTGGCTCACGCAACTGATCTGCATGGGGCCATCCCACTGTCCATCCTGGCAGGTCAGGTAGTTGTAGTCTCCACTGACAACGAAGCCCTCATCACAGAAGAACTCAATCACAGTGCCATGAGAAAACATTCGACAGGGGGATGGATGGCAGGTGTAGCCCCCATTCTCAGGTTTGGAGAGGGGTAGACATGCTGAGGAGGGGAAAAAACAACATATGAAGTAAAAACTGTTTAGTGTAAGTTTCTAAAATCATTACAGAGACTTAAATGCCGTATAATTAAGTAAATCTGTTTTACTTATGACAGAATGATGCTAAATCAGGCTTGTTGGCACAACACAGTCAATACTCTACAGATCAGAGAAGAATATCTTACCACCACTGCGTATGCAGCGAGGGGGTTCAGAGGACCAACGTCCCAGTGTGGAGCAGGTGAGGATGCTGGGTCCGTCTGGCAGGTAACCAGGGTCACAGCTGTACTGCAGTACTGTGCCCACAGGGAACGAGCCCCTGTTGGTTTCTGTGAGGTTTACCCAGCTGTTCTGGACCATATATGGCCTCACGCATCCTGGGAAAAGACCACGAAGAAGACGAAATTCTGTGAAACTGCTCAGGGTTTCAGTAGAATTACAACAAATATTTTGAGCCTGGTTTTATACCCAATGACGCCACCAGTAACAGAGCCACAGAATGACCTATAGTAACTTACAGTGGCACCACATACAGGGGTTGAACACAACATGAACACTTTTACTATATACTAAACTCCAATTCAGTGAGTCAATAACAAACACTACAACAGCAATGCTTACAACAGCTAGACAGGCAATGATTCAACACAAAAATATTCAAGTGTGTAATCTGATGCTGTGTTGCATCACATTATAGTGTAAAGTGTGGTGGTGTGCTCCTTCTCATATTCAGATAGGGGGCCAAAAGAATCCAAACAACTGTTAAGCCTGTTTGACCACATATTACAGTTTTTTGGCCACTATCACTCAAATTTATGACAAAAAAGAAAAAGAAAACAACTTTAAATGCAGGAGGAAACCGAGAATGATGTGATTTTCTCAACTAAGATACGATTCTGCTTCAGTTTAAACATATTACCCAAGAGAAAGTAATTAAATGTTACAGGACAAATGATTTGCATTATTCTTGCAAGCCTATTCCTATTGAAATCTATC